TTTGGTGAGGTTTTCTTGTTTCCTTTTTGTACTTTGTCACCCACATGTTGTAAATAAAATCTATATAGTCTTTAAGTTGTGAAATCTAGGTAGAAAAGTTTCATTTTTGACCTTTCATCTAGTTTAAAAAATTCAGTATAAAAAAAAAATTCTCCTCTGAAATTTAAACAGTCCACAAAAGTTTTACCTTCTTTTCTTACACGCTTTTATGACAGTAAAGATCTTTCAAAGTTTTTAGCTCTTCGATTAGAGTTTTGTTCTGATTTTCCAGGACTGCAACTCGATTTTCCAGACATTTAACGTACTCCTTCTTCTTCCTACGGCATTCTCGAGCAGCTTCTCTGGAACAGACAAGCAGAAGTGATTATTTATTTTAGATTTGAGATGTGTCTCTTTTACAAACCTTCAGATCCCGGCCGGTGAGGCAGGAGGAAGCTGGCACCGCAACTGTGAAGGGAACAAACCGAAAAGCACACGAGGACGGGTGCAAGCATGAAATTCAGCAGCATCTGGTGACACACACGGTGGTCGATCTGCAGAGATAAACCAATTTTTCTCCAAGCCGCGCGAGGCAGAGCGTGGAGCACGTTTTGGTCAGAATTTCCGGCGTTCTCCGGCGCTGGATGCAGCGGCCGGGCACAGTCGGTGAAGTCCCCTCCCGAGACTCGGGGTTTGTCCTTCGGAGACACTTCAGCACATCCACCGAACAAAGGAGAGCAGCCCACGTGCACTCACGTACCTGTTCTTCATCAGCCTTATTTCTCGTTTCAGCTGCGGGTCATCTGTCTTACTCGTCTGTGACGTCAGGGTGACGGGAGACGTCATCACCACGGTCTGAGGGAGGGACGTGGTGGTCGGCGTGGTGCGGATCTGGTAAGTCTGCATGTCTCCTGATGCAGCTGTCGCGATAACGGCACGAGACATCAAAACGTGGCAGTGTTAGAGTTAAACTACGAGTATTTCCAACCGTTCGCAGAAGGCGTACTCACTCTGCACCACCACCTGGTTGCTGGGGACGAGGATCTGTTGGCCGTCCGACGTCTGGGCGTACTGCAGTATTGTTGTCCCGGGCTGGGCACCACCAGCGTTTGCCATCGTCAGCGTCTGCAGGCCTTGCACGCCGTCGCTGCCCGGGCTGGCCAGCTGCAACCCGTTTGCAGCGATGGCAACTTCAAGAAAAAGCGACACGCACAACGTTTGCGGCTGCACATCACACCGCGCGGATAAAGGTAAGTCTGCGGGCTGCACGGCTGTTTCCACTGCTGAAAAACACTGCCAGTTTCAAAAGGCTTTTTTCTTCCATCACTTTCACTATCAGCTCTTGCTGTTGGGTTCTTACTAAACTTACTGGGTGCCCGCAGTGAGGTGCTGGTAGTGGGGGGAGCCACGGGAGGTGTGGGACTGCCCCGAGCCAGACCCCAGCTCCACACGGACCCCCACTGGTCACAGCCCCAGCTCCTCTGTGGAAACACACTTAAGAAAGGGGAAAAATCCAGACAGGTCAGGGATGGGAGGCAGGGAGTGAGGAACAGCTGTACCACCACCCAGCTTGGAGAACCAGGACGGAGAGGAGGGGCTCCAGGTGCCGCAGCACGATGCTTTTTGGATCACAAGCACAATACACATTTTGGTGTGGCCCTATGATATATATAATGCTGTCTCCACTGATCTTTCGTTTTGGACTAAATCTAACACTAAAAAACTGCTGTGTATTGCATAAAAACATCCTTTGAATCTCTCGTCTTAATGTGCAAAAATTAAGACGACGAATCATTTTTATCTGGAGTTTTAGGTACGAGTCTATTTCCATGTAAGAACAATACTAACTTTGCTGACGGTTTGATAAATAACCAAACCTCTGGAGTTCCCTCTTAGTCAAATCCATACCAGAAAGAAAACCTGTATTTTGAGGCAAGTTGAATCAAAAATGTGTCCAGTCAGGCACGTACTGTACTGTCCAGTGCTCGTCTGGTAGATAGGCGTGGGAACGGACATAGACGTAACAGTAGAGACACCAGGACTCTCCTCATCTCCTTTTCTATCACGTGTGTCTTCAGAAGAAAGATCTTTCAAAATTTTTCTATAAAAAAAAAAGAGTTTCTTGATCAGCTCTTATGCAAATCCTACAAGTTACTGCAATGACAGTCGCCAACCACTATCCCTAATTCGTAATACAGAAATAAACACTAAAAGTGTGATAACAACAGCTTCTGGAATTAGAAACATTTTGTATGAGGTGACTGCCTCAAACCCTTCCTGTGATTACACTTCTGTAGTTTATATAGTTTAGGTTTTTAGTTAAATATTTGAATAATTCTATGAGCGAAGAGCAATTCAAGTCAGCTACTGATTTATCAAGTATGTGTATGTGCGAATCAGCACGAATTCCAGATTTTCAATCATTATCCTCTAAAAGCCTTACACGTTTGGACTGTTCAGTCCGCGCTGAAAACCTGCACCAGCTACAGCAGATTTTGGTAGTCTCCAGAAAAACGGTGTGCTGAAAACTTGCACTGCAGCTGCACCGTCTCGTTTCGGTAAAAGTTGTGTCAGAGTTTCCACCATGAACACTTTCCGGGGATATATCACTGACCTACGACGAGATTCTTCTGATTCACAACTTGATCCTCTAATTCTCTCAAGAATATGCTGCGTAGGTTCAATTAAAACCAGTTTGGTGTCAGAATACACTACAAAGGAGTAGGTTACTAGAGAGAAGTTCTAAAATGAGATCTTTTGCTCTTTCAGTGCACAGTAGGACTTGACATTTCTTTTCTGCATTTAATTCAGCTCTTGCACAGCCTCTCCAACGACCCACGTCCTACATAACAACACCCTATGACAACAGGCACATCCCTGTTTAACGAAGAACCAGTGGCAGCGTGGATTTCCTGCGTCCCACCCCAGGCCGAAGGAGGAATTGGGGGCAGTTTGATGAAGAGAAATGCAGAACTGACAACTCCTGATCCCAAAACAGTTCTCCCATAGGAGCTCTGCTGCCAGCTCACGTTTTCCTATCCTGCTACTGTCACTGAAGCCTCAGAATTGCTCTATTCCATCACCGTTTTTGAGTGCATGCGAAATAATAAAATCCCTCCTAAATTATTTGTTCTGGTACATAATCCAAGATGAGATAAAGTCATCAGAAAGTACGAAGAAGAGTGGGTAAAACATTGAAAAAATGAAAGCAGTGGCAGAAGTGGGAACAGTCATCACTGACAGGAGTATCAGCTAGGCTCATAAACTGTCTTTGAAAATTTTTGGAACATTATTGTCAAAAATCTTAAATTTTCTGTAAGTTTCTAACAAATCTATTCTTTGAAAAGCTAGGACGTGGCATTTGACTGCACTCCTTATTTCAGTAAAATGATGTAACTGAGTAAACCACAGCTGATAAACAATTTTCCCTGTGCCACACCACGTTGAAGCTGCTCTCCAGCCAAGTCTTAGTTTCCTTTAGCAAACGATAGCGACACGGCACCCTCAAAAGGTTTCCTGCGTGAGCAGACCCAGTGAATGTTTCAGGAGAAAGGAAACAACTTGCAGGTTGACAGAATACACAAAGCTCTTGAAAGAAGTTGGGATTTTGGGTTCAAATAAGAATACAAAATATGTTACTTGTAGCACGTACCGGTAGGATGGACGACGAGCTAAGATGCCTCGAGCTTTCTGTGAAGAGCCTATGCTGTCTGATGAATCCTGAGAATCTTCACTCTCAGACAAAGAAGATACCTAAAAAACACATTCCGTGTGGTTATCCAGTACCTTCAGAAGAAATACCCAGGAGAGATGACACATTTTAGACATATATAAGCTGAAGCTGCATGAAAACTACACAAATGCAAAAAAAAAACCCAGCTCAAGAGATTCTCCTGAACTATTTAACACATTAAAAGCTGAAAAACGTCCACCAGCTGAAGGTGGCTGTTCCAGCTGATTAAACTGCAGGATTAATCAATGCAGAAAATTTAAAACAGCACTGTGAAGAAACACAAATGGTTTATTATTTTCATAAAAATCACACAAGCCTAACTATCTTCTTAGCCGATGTGGCCTGAAGAGGTGAGCCACTCCCACACAGAGCTGTGTAAGGAGGTGGTGGGAATGGAAACAGGAACACCATTTATGTACAAACAGATAAAAACCTCAAAATCTTTTAGGCAGACAGAAGAGTAGTGTGTTTTGTTGGTCTGAATGTCAGAGCCAAATGAAAACAATATTTAAGGCAGCACCTTATCAGGGAGTAAATACACAAAGTATTATCTGTAATTTTCTCTTTATTCCTCTGTGTCCTCATCCAGTTGGCAGGTGTTATTTTTTCCTCTGATGCTCCTTATTAAATACAAGCTAACAAAACATTTATTTGTGCTTATCGGCGTGCCAGCAACACAAACTCAAGAAGAATGCACGCAGCTCTGGGAAAAGCATTTCTCCCTCAACTGCTGCTCCAGAGGCAAAAAGAACAACCCACTATCAACATTTTTAAAAAAAAAAGCTGCTCATGTATCACTTTTCTCCCCTTCGAGCAGCAAGGCCACAATGTTCATAAATCAGAGGAAAAAAGGAAAGAGCAGAGTCAGCGGGGACCCTGCAACTGGGGCAGGATGACAGCAAAGGGCTTAGCGGAGCCTCGAGTAGAGACAACCTCCCACAACAGGCGCTTAACTGGTTCCAGCAAAGGGAAACGTGGTTTCTTTTCCATGATCTACAGGAACAACAACAGCTGGAAACGCGTTACCAGTTTGCTTTTCACGGTTTATCAGTTTAATGTCATGTGAACAGGCAGGCACAGTACAGAGGACCAGTGGCAAGTTAATGAGTTTTAGCCCAGTTCCTCCAGTCCTCCGGCTGACTGGTGCGGCTGTTCCACAGCGTGACTCCAGTGCCACGCTGCCCACAGGGCTCTCGGCAGCCGAGGACTGAAGGAAGCAGGAACACCTTGACTGCAAACTCCCCACGGCACCTCTCTGGAGTGGCTCGTACAAAAATCACGTGGCAAACGAGTCAGAGACACGGCAGAACACTGAGGTGCCACGGGAACGGACCTACGGCGTAGGTGGGGTGAGCAATCCGCAGTTCATCCACCACCACTCGGGTCTCCCTTTTCCAAACCCACGTTCCTCTTCACTGGGTCACTCCATACCCTCCTCGTTCGGGTACGGACACCTCTGGTCGCCTGTTACGAGCAGCAACTAAAGAGCTGTGGGTTTGTTCCAGTTTTTGGTTTCATTTTTTTATAAAGGGAGGCAACATCGAACAGTTTAATTTCAAGTCTAAAGGCACCTTTAGCACTACAAATAGTTTCAAGCCTAAATAATCGTTAAGAACGATGTATCCCCAAAATACTGTCCCGGAGTTGCTCGCTGTCTCTCACAGCAGGGCCAGAAAGGCTGCACTGTGGCAGAGTCAGCCCAGGCAGATACCCCTTTACAGGTCTCTTCACGTACATAAACCCAAATTCGTGGTTATTTGGGATATTCCGTAGTTACCTGCACTGTCTGCACCTGCGGTGAGTGGATTACAGAAGAGGACTGTGCTGTCTGAATGACTCCCTGGACCTGGACTTGTTCTCCAGGAAGCTGAACGACTGTCAGGGGGGCAGGACCTCTTAGAGACATCTACAACAAATCAAAGAATCGTTAACAGAAGCGTTTGTTCTGCCATACTCAGGGTATATCCATGTAAGAGAACTGGTGGAGAACAGGCATTAGTAGAGGCTTCTTTTAAGTCTGATTAAGTCACAGAAGGCATCCTTTAAAGATACACATTTTTGAGATACACATCTGCATACAAAAAAGGCTGAAAACAGGAGTTTAGGGCACTGAAATCTAAATCGTAGATCCATAGAATGGTTTGGGTTGGAAGGGACCTCAAAGACCATCCAGTTCCAACCCCCCTGCCGTGGGCAGGGACACCCTCCACTACACCAGGTTGCCCAAAGCCTCATTCAACCTGGCCTGGAACACTTCCAGGGATGGGGCAGCCACAGCTTCTCTGGGCAACCTGTTCCAGTGCCTCACCACCCTCTGAGTGAAAAATTTCTTCCTTATCTCTAATCTAAATCTCCCCTCTTTCAGTTTAAAGCCACTGCCCCGTGTCCTGTCACTACAAATCGAGATGAAACGATCCACAAGACAGAGCTCAGGACAGACCCGACTGACAGGAGCAGAGTAACGCAGAAGGCAGCACGAATAACGTACGTATTGGTGTTCTTGGATTGTTTTTTTTAAGCAAGCGGTACGAGGCTATGGCTGAAAGATTTCACAGAGGAGAAATTACAAGAGCCAGGCAGAGCAAAAGCTGACCCATCTGCTCAGGAAGATCAGGGCACGGGGGCTATATGAAAGACACCAGAGCACAAAAGGAACCCAAAGAGTTGAGGTGTGCAAGCTCTGGACAAGGAAGAAGGAAAAAGAGCTGATTCTTCCAAATAAAAATGATGGCATCTGTTCTTTAATGTTCTAAAATGCTCAGTTTTGCTAAGTGTTGTAGCTGGAATCCAGGTTTAATTGGCAAAAAGTTCATCACTACTGCTACTCCTACAGAAAATACTTTTTACATTCCAATAGATTTGCATTTTTGATGTCAAACTCTCACCAGCCTTTGCCCTTAAAAATCAATTACAATTATACACACAGATGCGTGAGCGAATAACCAGCTTCCTCCCCAAATTCCTTCACTACTTTTATTAATCTGGAATATGTGAAAAGATGAAGGGATCATGAAAATTCACACGGCTAACCTTCCGTTTAGTACTACTTTTGTATCACGCACCATAATATTAAGTTACGTTGGCAACTTTATATAAAAACAGATCAGAAGAACAGCCTGCAAACAAACAACAGGATGTTTGCTGATGTTCTGTCCGGTCTGTGCCTCGAAGGCGTCTAAATTTGCATCAAAATGTGAATCTCTGTGGGGCAGAGAGCAGAGGGGCTGCAAACTCCCTCGTTTCACAGCAGCAAACCCCACCCTGAGATGCTCCTTCAGCCGCAGAATCGTGAGGAATTCAGCTGAAAGTTTTGGAAGTGATGTTACCTTGCAGTAAGTACATCAAATTGCCAACTTTGTATGATTTATTACATTAAATATGTTCACGTTGGGCAAAAATCCAAGTGTTTCCGTGGTGCTGAGCACCCAGGATTGCCACCACCACAAAAGGAGCTGTAAATGGTTTTTCTGAAAACAAAAATTAAAATTAGGCCTCGATTCACTACGAAGCAGCTCCTGCGTGTCAGGTCGATGCCTGTTTCAAAGGATGCACAACTTCACGCAAACACCAGGCTGCATTTTTGCACTGTACAAGCCTGAAAATTCATTTGGGTCTTTTGAACACAAGCCATTTTATTAACTTTGTGTCGTCCATCAAGTAACACGTACATTTTTCTCAACCTCCTTTTGTTTTTCCTTCTCTGTGCGTTTCTAGAACTCGAGAATTGATATAGTTTGTAGTACCCAAAAAATGGCTCTTAACTACCTCAAATTTGCTGAGATTTGGCCCAGGCTTTACCTGTTGAGCAATATGAGAGAGCTGAGCTGCCTGTAGTGTTGTACCTTGTGCAGCTGGTGTTTGGGAAGGCGTCGCGGAGCTGTTACTGCTGCTCTTGTGCACCTCTTCCATCATCAACTACAAGAAAAGGAAGGAGTTAAATTCCGTTAATGACGAACTGGAACAGCAGATAGGTGCCAGCTTCCACTGACACGTCACAGAATCTCCATGCATGATGCTTTTAGCTTTACTTGGACATTTTTCATTTCTGTTATGGAGCAGCACAGCATTTTTGTCCCTCTCCCTACAACACCTTGAGCATCATTAACCCTTCTCGTGGGGACACGGAGCCGCACGATCCTCCGTTTTGGAACGGGAAACGAGTCCCGTTTCACCCTGACAACATCCGTGCTTCAACCGTCTGTCGGCGCAGATTCAGACCTACTCGGTGCTGAAGTTTACTGTCAAACGTATTTACCAAATTTCCTGTTGTTTTCACAAAAATAAAGTCAAGTCATGAGATCTAGGAAGAAAACCAAGACAAAGCATTTACACTAAAGAGTATCTTGCTGTAAGTGAAATAATTTTCCCAAATATTTCACCCAAGCTACCAGCCAAACCTATTTTAAAGCATCTGAAGGTGTACAAAACCAAAGCAAGGATCCCAAATCAAAGTAGAGAGAACGCAGTTTTGCATTTTAAACCCTGTAAAAGTCGTTCCGTCTCCATGTAGTACAGTCAGTAACACTTCTCTCATTTCTAAGATTTTATATTTAACTGTTCAGCATGTCTTGGCAGCATCTCCTCTCCAATACTGGGGGTTTAGTGGTGTAAAATGCATGCTTTAGGTGGGGTGAGTGGGTGGACCAGCCTAGAGCATTAAGAGATGATCAGTGAGTGTTAAACATTTTGTCACAGAAGGTTTGAAACTGTTGAAAGGACAGTTGCTATGAGACTGGAAATTACATTTTCTTTCTGTGGAAATGAGTCACTGATTTTTCCCTACTGAGATAAACCACAGCTCTTGCAGCCTGACGTGTGCTCAGAGGGTAAAAAGTCAACGTGCACCAAGACCAGGGTCTTGTTCTTGCAATCCTTACTCATCCGAGGAGTCCCGCTGCGCAACTCCTCAAATAAGTTACTAAACCAGGACTTTGTGGAGACAAAACTGACAGGAAACCGATCAGCATGGAACAAACCTTCTCCAGCTCATGACACAGCTTCCCAACATGCTTATGTCTACAGACATCCAGGAATTCATCCCTAGTGCAAGCTGGAGCAGCAAAATGAAGTCTTCACTCTGGAATACCAAGCTGACGGACGCCAGGCAGTGCTTCAGCTGCTCCCAGCTTCTGGAAACCTTCCGCTAATCCCAGCTCTCCCGACTGCCTTTGCCAAGATGGTCACGTCGCCGCTGCTGCTCACGCAACGGTGCTGTCGCCTCCGCGGCGTCGGGAGCGGGGATGGGAGCTGGGGACCCCGACTGGCACCTGCCCGGCTGCGCCCTGCTCCTGCCGGCGCCAATCCGGCCCCTCGTGCCGGCACGAATCCGGCCCCGCCGCCGGCGCGCAGCGATGCGGTTCTAACAGTTCCTTTTTCTCAGTCGCTACTGCTGCAGCGCTCGCTGGCAAGTCAGACAGCCTGATTGGGCTTTTTCTTTTTCCAAGGAAAGAAAATTGAGAACTAAAGTAATTTAAGTATCTCGAAGCTACAAAAAACGAGCAGAACGAGCAGCAAGCACGTAGAAGGGACGCGACTTTATACAGCCTGAAATGTAGTTTTATGGTTTTTCATAAAGGAAAATCTGCTTCCTACCTCTGCAAAGGGAGACATACCAAGTGTCACAAGTAAACAGGGCACTGTCAAACTGAAATCCAGTCAACAGCAAAAATTAAAATAAATTTCCAGTGCTACAGAAACACCCAATTCATTTCTGCAGTGCTAAACCGCATTCTGTCACCCTCTCTCTCTTTTACTGTTTTTCTCTGCCTTACTGTCCCATGAAAGACTCACACCAGCACCAAAATAGACTGCAAGAAACAACGAAACCAAGATATAAAACCACCCAAAATAAACAAACTGGGGAGAAAGCACAAAGGTTTTTGCTGATCTTTCTCTCACAGGCGTGAAGTTCTACTTACAGGAATAAAATATAAAGTATTTCCCATTATAAATATGATTTTTCAAGTTCACTTCATCTCTGCTTGCTCTGCAATATTTCACTGACATCTATGAATAAGAATATTCATCTATAAATCTCAGTCAAATAACATCCAAAAAGATGGAGCAAGAGATTTTAACAACCACTATGGCATCGTGCATCCTCTGCTGGATAAAGGAGGTGCGCTGCGCCGTCTGGCCTCGCCTGACTGCCTCTGTCTTGTTAGAACAACTTATTTAGCTGGAAAACCACGGATTTTCCATTGGAACGGCCTTCTGGGAAGCCCTCGAACAGCGATTAGCATCTGTCAGTTCCAGTGAACTCAACCTGCAAGTTCTTGAGATTTGAAAAGAGGCACCAAAGACAGAAACCAGACGGGGGTTTCAGCTTTTTACACCACGGTTAAAACTTCTTCCAACACAGAACATGTGTCCAGCTCAAACCAGCTGCACGGTTTGGGGTGAAGGAAGAGTTTTTCCTGTCACAGAGGGAATCTGCAAAAGCAACACCCAACGTTTTATTGGTCAGAAAATAATTATTGCTCCAACCTGCATGAAACCCATGTTTTTGTAATCGGATAGGTCAGGATGATGCTCCCCAGAACAAAGCCGCCGCCTCCATGCAGCTACATCTCAAAAGCAATTTAATTTAAATGAAAGGATTCGGCGGCAGCACCATTATGAAGTTCATTTTGAGGGACTTTTAGACTTCTGAGAACTGGCTCTCTCCAGCCAAAGAAACTTATCTCACCTGAAACATGAGTCTGAGTCTCAAACATGCCTTCCTTTCAAACACAAACAGGAACGTTGCGTTTTACTGTGGGCAAGTTTAATTTATCACCCTAACATTCATCCATTCCCTCTTAATGCCACATTCCTTCGATGGAACCACCAGTCAGGAACCACTGAAAAACCCCTAAATAGCTGAGAAGCACCAATTTTAAAAGAACAAATAAACAAGAAAAAACAACTCCCGAAACTTTTGCTAATCCTGACGAAAAACGTCCCAAAATGCTGAAGAGACAGCCCCGTACAGACATCCCACACCTGTGGAGCAACCATCTCCACCAGATTTTCCTCAGAATCGCTCCGTGTCCCGCAGAGCTCTGCTCTCCTGTCCTTACTATCATCTCTCTGCTTGTTCACAACGCGGATTATCGGAGACAGTGACTGCCTCGAGTGAAACGCTCATAAAACGGCCAAAATCGTGGATTCCCAGCCTCAGATCGGGCCTCGAGGCGCAGTCAGGAGGTAAAGACCGAGATAACGGAAGGTAAAAGCTGCACATGGAGGCCAGGAGAAGCGAGCTGCAGCGGGATGACGCCGAAGGAAGGAACCAAGTTCTGTTTTGTGCTTTAAATCCTGCAGAGGGAAGGACCGAATGGGATTTCAGGACTGAAATCTTGTAAGAGGCGATTAGGGTTTTTTTTAAAGACTTTATAAAAAGTCAGAAATTAAAGGATACTGGGCACAGAATTTTATTCTCAGACACTGACAAGAGCCAAATTCTGACGTCTACGAATCACAGAAAGTCATTTAAACACCTGGTGAAAATAAACCTGGGTGACCGGGCGAAATTTCACACTTTAACGTCTCGAAATCCGCTGCCTGCACCGGCTGCGGCGGCTCAAACACCATTTACTGAATTTTGCAATTAAGCCGCTTGAGGAAAGTTTTTTCACCCAGGAGACTGAGAGAACTCCAGTTTTTTTCCAGGAATCGGGGAAAGAGGCAAAGGACAGCACATCCCACCAGTCCATGCCAGCAGGCCAGTGAGGAGACTTGAGTCAACGTCCCCACTTGGTGTTTTGGATCCCATTCCACACGCACACACGCGAATGCTCCTGAAAACTTCGGGATTACTTTCCATCCGCGTTTTCCTCCCCTCCACCCCGGCCTTCCGCAGCGAAACGGGGCTCCGCGAGCATTCCCGGGACCGCGGGCTGCAGAAGGAAAAGCCTTCAGCCTAAAAACGTGCACGGAAAACACCCCCGAGATCCTCATTCCCGAG